TTTGTAGAAAGTTTCAAGAGTTGTGTTTCATTTTCCTGTAATTTGATTGGTTTCTTAAAACAAGCATTAGCTTGTTGTATTTCAGTAAAACTTCCACGTTGACTGGGAAAAAAAATGCGATTTGGAGCAAAAATTGGTGTGATTCGTGAATAAATTGCACCAATGAGAGCCAATCAGATTACAAGGATCAACAATGATTTTTTTAAAGGGTGTAATAAATACTTAAAAACGACGATGTTAAGATGTGTGGTTAACATTGTCTTCTTGATCAAATGCGACCATTGGGTGAGTGTGATAAGCTGCTCATGCGCAGTTCAGCTGCCTTTGACGCTAACCATTAAACTTATTTTGAAGTTTTGTAGAATGGTTCAACTTTGTAAAGAAACATGTCTGTATAAGTCAGAGTGTGTCAATTCATCATTAAAAGTGCATATAGAGGACGAGTTTTTGTAATCCTTGTTTTAGATTGTAAAACAAAGCTGTTGGTTATAAGCTCAAGATTTCGATCACGTCAAATGGTCTCTTCCATTCAAGTAGGAACTGAAACCATTCAACACCAGCCCTTTGAAATAAATTTGGGAGTGATACTTGACCAGGATATAGCGATGGATAAACATATATGTATGATATGTAAGACCCCTTAATACCATCTTCGTAATATAGGGAACATTAGAAAATTTTTAGATCAGGGTTCTGTGGAAACCTTAGCTCATTCCTTTCTTACGTCTAAGATTGACTATTGTAATGCTCTTTAGTTTGGATTGCTTAAATATCAGATCAATAGGCTGCAAATTAGCATTAAGCACTGTTGCGCATGTGGTTACTCTAACTCGCATATGTGACCACATAAATTCTGTAATTAAATCGCTTCTCTGGTTTCCTGTATTTCAACGTATTATCTTTTAGATTTGCCTATTAATTTATGAGACACTTAATGGCTTGGCGCCTATCAGTATCGATCTAACCTTTTGGCCCCGCGCCGTAATAAGCGCTCACTTGGATTTTGTACTCAGGAACTTTTAACTCAGTGTTCCGAGATCTAGAACAGTGACTTATGGAGCTAGGGCGTTTTCCATTGCTGGACTAGGGCTTTGGGATG